GAAAGAGGTGAAAGCAGGTCTCGAAGGGCTTCAAATGCCAAGATGACAAGTTTGGAGATCATCCAGCTAACAATGGGGAGCCAGTGGTCATTACTAGGCAGCTTGTGGAGACTGCATGAATGGAGAATTGCCTTTCTGTATCTCTGCCTTCCTGGACTCCAGGCTGAGCAAAATAAAGCTTCAATCTCTGCGTTGCAGACCCAGCCTGCATTGAACTGAATTGGCCCGTGTGGGTGGAGAGGATGGACGAATAGCTTGATAGGCGAATGGACTGATGGGGCAGGCAGGGACACAGCGTTCATTTCATACCCACTGAATGCCAGCCCCCGCCCTGCTCACATGTGCTGGCTTGAATGTTGTTTTGTTTCGATTTGTTTTGTGAACAGATGAGGGAACAGGGCTTAGCGAGGCGAGATAGTCTGTCAATCCCAGAAGCTGGGATTTGAGCCAAGACCTTCTGACCCCATGTCCGTCCAGTGCCCTTGAAGGTGCCCCTGGCCGAGCACACAGGGTAGGGTGAGCAGGTCAGGAGACGTGCAGCTGCAGGGACAGATGGACGGATTCCCAGGCATGGGGGCCAGAGCCAGCTAGTCTGGCCCTCCTCTCTGCCCAGAACGAAGGCCGCTTACTTTGTACCCTCTCAGGTAAGCCCCAAAGCCTTTCTGGCCTCCCTGTCTTCCAAGAAGGACATGAGAGGTGCAGCCCCTGCAGGAGGTGCAGCAACCCCTCTCTGCTTCTCAGAACCTCCTACCACTCCTCACCCCAGCACAAATCCGGCACCATCCAGAAATCCCTGACCTACCTACACCCTGCACCAGATGGGCCTGCCCCATGCCAGCCAGCCGGCCACAGCCTGAGCCAAGGGAGGAGGAGGGGACGGCTTCCGGACAAGAGTCCAGGCGGCCAGACCCACGTCCACAGGCCGTTGGCAGGGCACAGCCGGAGGGCACAGAAGAAGTAGAGCAATGCCGGCTGTGGCAATGGCTGCCTGAGCTGTGGCTGGTCTGAGGGCCTGCACTCCCAGTTCCCAGGGACTCACTCCTTCCTCTTGCTGCCTCCCAGCACATGCACACACTCATGTGCACACACTTACATGCATACACACACTTGTATTTGCACGCACACACACATGTTCATACACATTCACACACCTACAGCTACACTTGTATCTACACCCTAATACACACTCATAGATGTGCACGAACTCACTCAATACTCTCACACATGCAATTATACTCATGCCCCCACTCATATGCTCATACGTTTGCATGTATCCTCATGCATTCACACTCACATATGCAATTATACTCACACATATGCACATACAAGTACACTCAAACATGAAGTTACACAGACAAGCACACACACACATATATCTCCTCACCCACATACACATTCATACACATAGCGAGTCACACATGTAATTCACTCAAATGCACCCTCACATACACACAATTACACATGTTCACATACATACTCACACGTGCACACACACAGGTCCTGCAGGGTAGAGGGCAAGGCAAGGTACTTTGCCTGAAGACGAAGGCACGACTGCCAGGTGGTGATGGTGTTGCTGGTGAGACAGGAGGAGGACGAGAGAGCAGGTGGCCAGGTGTGTGAGCTGGGGAAGGGTGGGGCTTATGGTCACAGATGGATCAAAGGTGGAGCTGTCCAAGTGTCCTTCCTCCCAGGTCAACCCCTGGCCCCTGCTCCTTCTCTCCCTGCAGCACCAGGTTCCTCCCCCCACCCCACCTCCCATCCCACCCCGCTGGGCAGCTGTGGTCTTGGGTGCATCTGGCCTTGGCCATTCATGTCTGGGCTCAGAGAAAAGAGATGATCTGGCTAAATGTGAGCCAAGCCTTTCCTTCCTGAGTGGTGGGGTGGGGAGGAAGGCACTGAGTTGTCCCTCTCGGCACTCCCACCCCTTGCTGGTGGGACTTCAATAGTTCAGGACTGCTCAATCCTTGTGCTTTACACAGGGGCATCTCTAAATGTGGGTGGATTATGGGCTCCGTCTGGTACAATCATGGTGCATTTTTCTTTATTTCGCCTTGGGAGATGGGACAGTAGACTCCTATCTACCTGGTACCTTGTCCTGCTCCCAACCAGGTCCTCTTGAGGTACCAAGGGGTTTCTGGAAGTTGTGTTCTCCCAGGGCATGGGATGAAGGGTATACAGAATACATTTACTCCTTTCTTTCCCTGGCTGCGCTAGCCATTGGGATTTGGTTCCCACTGAGTGCCTGGCTAGATGTGAAGCACAGGTTCCCTGTGGAGGGCTTGAATAAAGAAGGTCTCCAAGGTTCCTGACTGCGCCCCTTCTCCTTGCAACAGGAGAAAGAGCCCCAAACCTCTTCACCCCCATGTGGCTCCATTATCGTATGCTTATGCCTAAGGGTGGTGGTAGTCCAGGTCTAGTTGAATTCCATCACAGGACTCTGAGCCCTGAGTCCTCACCTCCCCACAGCTACTCCTGCAGGCTCCACTAAGCCAGCTGTACAGAGAACCTGGCTCTGATGACCCCCATCTTGTCAAGACACCCAAGAAGCTTTCTCAGCTCAGGAAAGGGAAGGGCAGCCCCTGCCTGGTAGCCCAGACCTAGCCAACATCCCCATCTCTCTGAATACCATAAACAGGTCCATAGAGCCCTTAGCCCCCTTGACTGTACTTGCTCTGTTCGCCGGCTCCTCTGAACAAGAGACAGACAGAGGGGGACCTGTTTTGCCAGCACACCCCCAGACCCCCAGCAACCCCCCTGCCATCACCCTGGGCTCACTTTGAGGGAGTAGGCCAAGGCGATGAAGCCCAGACAGCAGAAGTTGAGGTAGACGAAATTGAAGATGGACCACAGGTAGTAGTCGTTCACCTCGGTGGTGTCCGGGTAGACCTCGATGACAGTCGTGGGGTTTGTCATTGTCTTCTTCTCCGCTAAGTGCTTACAGGCCGAGGGGGCGCCGGCAGCCCGCACGCTGTCCGTCTTGCTGCTCTTGGACTCCATGGGGAACAGAGTGGGTGCCATGGGGGGTGAGGCTGAGGGCTCAGGGGCAGGGGCCGCTGGAGCCTGCAGGGCAGGGGGCTTGGACACGCAGGCAAAACAGCCCTTAGGTGAACCTGCTGGGGGCCTCGGAATCCAGAAGGCCCCGTCCAGGGGGACTCGGGCTTCCTGGGTGCCGTCCGTGGTGCTGGCCGGGGCTCCCAGCAGGGCTGGGCACTTGCCGGGGCCCTGGGCCTGGAGGGAGGGAGAAAGTAAGAAGGATGTGGGCTCTGTCTGCCTGGCAGCACCCACCCTCGCACCCTGCAGCATCTCCCCTGCAGCCCCATAAACAGCCCCAGTGGAGATGGAAATCCCCACTGAGGCAGCCAGCTGCCAGCCTGCCACCTGCCTCCCCCACCCGCCTGGGCCGCCTATGCCAAAGCCCTCCGCAGCAGCCTTGGCAGGCACATCGCGGCTTTTCATCACTTTGCCATCTGCGCACAAACATTCACCCACTGACACACGCGACGGCCACCCCCCCACCCAAACGCACACCCAACAATACTCTGACTGACACACTGTGAAATAAACAGAGCGCCCCGGGACCCAGGAAATGCAGACCCACAAGATACTGCCTCAGCAGCTAACAGCAGAATGAGCTTAGCTCTCTGAAGCACCTGCACACAGACACGCGCTGCCACAGGACACAAACACCAGCACCACCCACTGGGCTCTCCGGACCCCAGGCACACCCCTAGCGCGCGCTCAGAGACATCACCAGGTAAACAGCTCCCCACACACAAGGACACAGACTCAGTCAGACACGATCGCTGGAGGATGAACACAGGTTCAGGGTTCCAAACTCTCAAGCATCGACCCCACCCCCAACCTCGGACGAAAGCGGTGCCGGAACCCCAAGCGCGCACACTCGCACGGCGCCACCCACCCCTCGTGCCACAAACAGACGCACAAAACCACTCTGCGAAACGAACACTTCTCCAACGAAGCACTAAGGCTCCCGAGCCCTGCGCCATCCCAGGTGCCCAGCGCTGATGATGCGCGCGCCAGGGGGTCTGCGGCCGAGATTCCTCAATCCCCAGTCGCGCACCGTCTGCCGCAGCCGCCCGGACGGCGCGTCCTTACCTACTGGCGACTCTTCGGCTGGCGGATCAGACCCCTGCGCCTCTGTGCACCCGTCCTTCCGCTGTCCCGCGGGCCGCTGTCTGTCCGCTGAGCGGTGTTCCAGCGGCCCAACCTTGGTGGGGGTGGGGGAGCGCGCGGGGCTCGGCGGCGGCGGGGGGG